GTTTTTATTTTAATTTGGTGAAAAATGATAGTAGAAACTTAATGAGACATGTAGTCCTCCTCTTTGATTAAAAATATGCCAGATATTAGAACGACAAGCACAAATCCTTCCATTCATCTTTCACTTTCTTGTTTTCTAAGAAGAGAATGCAAACAACATGGATTTTTTCCTCCCTGGTCCTTCTCTGATGTAGTACATGTAAGAATCTGGTGCTATCTAACTATTCCCTCAGCTTAAGCAATAATAATAACGAACATTTGTTGAGTGCTTATAATGTAAGTTCTAGCCTAAGTACCACACAAGTGTTATTTAATTTATTCCTTATAACAATCTAGAAGGTAGATATCATTATAACCTTCCATTCATAGATGAGGAAACCAAAGGTCAGAGAGGGCCCAGTGTTGCACAGATAGAAAGCAATGTAGCAGGCCACCTGGCTTCAGAGCATGCATGCTTAGCCACAACAGAATACTTCCTCTCCACCCTGCAGCACACATGGAAATAAAGACATAAAAAACGTAAATGAAGTTCATTTGAATTATATAGATCCTTATTGGTAAGTTCTGAATAAAATTCTGGTGGCAAACTCCTTAAAGTTCCAATTCCAAGCACAGAGATGTTCATGGAAGGTTTTATATAACATGTGTAGAACCTGTCCATGGCTGGGTTTTCTTTTGTTCAGTGTTGGGTCTCAGCACCTAGAAGACTACCTGGCATAGGGTGAGTAAACTCTGTGCATTTATTCTATAAATTAATATTTTAACATAGCATTGGAATGCAAGTTTTAATCTGAATAAATCTGTATTTTAGAACTCAGTTTTGTATACCCGTTTAACTTGACACTTTTGAAGCGTCTCATTGTAATTCAAGTGGTATGTACTGAATTAACTCTGTTTTTCATACTTTGTGAGAAGAAACAAAATTATTAGATATTGTTAACAATTATAACAAATCCAGTTTGTTCATCATTTGATCTTCTTTTCAATAAAGCTTTTCATGTTTTATTTGAGGAGAAAAGAAGAATGCCAAAACCCATGTGGGTTCCGTCTTTGGTCTAACATGTATTTTTCTAAAATAACAAATGTAACTGAGAAGCTTGCCTGGGTGGTATAAAAGAGTCAGTTAATTGGTAGTCAGCCTTTCTTTTTATAGTTGACTATAAGTCTAAACGCTGATTTAGGAGAAAGATACGTTTTTACTAAAGAAAGCCCTATATGCTATATTAAAAGTGTGATGACTTTGCTTTTTCAAAGAATCCATAAGCCCCACCCATGTCCTCTGAAAAGTTCGGACTGCCATGTGGCTTTCTAGCGTACAAAACTTTTGCTTTCCTGCTATATCTCTTTCCTAAATCAACATTCGCACATTGACCCAAACAGATTGGTCTAGCTTGTACCTTGGTGACAGCAACCTGTCATTTTCTGCCTTAGAATATTGTAACTTCATTCATTCTTGCAAATTTTCTTCCCTAACCCCAGAATTTTTTCTAAAAGCCCATATTTTCAGATTTTTCTATTTAAAAGCCAACTTTAAAAATAAGATTTAGAGACTATATTTCCAATAATGTTGTAAAACAGAAGGCCCTTACATCAGCATAAATTTAAAAAGGTGAGATAATTGGATTTTCTGGAGGCAAAAAACTCCATATTTATAAAAATGTCAATTCTCACATATTAGTTATATTTTAAAACATTTAAAAAGTCATACTTGTCTTTCATTAAATAACATTTATCATCAGCCCACCAGTCACTTCCTTTTTAAAAATACATTGATTTTCAGTACTCTATAGAGTAATAGAAGTAATGGAGCATTTGAATCATGTGCCTTCATAAAAACGTAGACAATGTAAGATGAAATCTGTAATAGTAAAATTAAGGTGGCATGAAGTACTTTTGAAACTTTATACTCTTCTGTATTGATTGTTTTACATTTGCAAGAAAATACAGACACATGTTATGGAGAAAAATTACTAACAATTAAGTTGAGAAAATTACTTTTAAATCCAAATATAACCTTTAATGTTTCTTTTATCATTCAAAAGTTTATTTTTTCTCATGTGTTATTTTATGTTTTAAATTATTCATAAGTGACATAAAATATTAGCCTCAGAAATATAATGTATTGTATTGAAGATGAGACTCTTTCGCTTTCTCTTCATATATGTATATATGTGTACATAGGTATACACACACATATATGCGTTTAAGTAGCTAACAATTTTTGACTTGTGTATCAATCAACAAGTTAAATATTGAATACATAGTATCTCATTATTATTCAAAAATCCTCATGAAATAGATATGACAATTTTATTTCTACTGATGAGGAAATAGGCTTAGAGAGTTTGAGTAACTGCCTAAAGTCACAGTAAATGAGAGAAAAAGCCAAAATTTAAGAGTTAGGAGTTAAGCTACAGCAAGCCCTCTGTATCTTAATGTTCCACTCATCCCTTCAAAACATCTACTAAATGCCAGGCACTAGGTCTATGCTGCTTACTTTTGGTTGGGTGTGGCTGACACCAAACCAAAATAAATATATATACACCTACATACACAAAGGATGACGACTCAGATGAAAATTAACCAAGGGTGAAATGATGGGCAATGCCTGGAAGATGGCAGCTACTTTTGGGTTGGTGACCTACAAAGACTTCTCTGAGATGGTGACATTTAAGCTAAGATTTGCGTGTCAAGAAGGAAATAAGCATAAGAAGATAAAGGGGTGGCAGCTGTGACCATAATGCAGGGGTAAACCTTCACATATTCAAGGACATTCAAGGGCCAGAACGTTACCAGTATAGATGGTATATCACACCCTGAACTAAGGAAGAATGATAGGCATTGACATTAGAGAGGTTGAGGCAGGGACCAATCAAGTAGGGTGTTGAGCAGCCAAGTAATTTGGTTTATCCTACGTGTTATGGAGAGATATTGGAGTGTTTTAAGTAGCAGAATGGCATAATCTGGGTTTCATTTTAAATGGATTACTCTAGCTGTTCTGCAGGAAAGTGAGGGGAAAGGAGATCAAATCTATATTCATAAGAATTATGTTTGGATACTTATATGTGCAGATTCACAGAAAATTATAGGCGTATTGAATTTAAGACATTTAAATTTTAAAGAATGTACTCATTATAATGATAATCTTGAAATTATCACCTTGCAGAGAAGCACAAAATGAGAGTATATGCTTTAAAAATCTCCCATTCAATGAAAAGCCACTGAAAGTAAATTTGAAGATTTTTTAAAGTATTTTAGCAAACAGCATTATGAAAAGTATATTTAGAATAATGTAGAATTTAATGTGTTTCTTTAAATAATGTATGTTATGACTTTTTTGACAATAGCACTTCACATGCTTTATGACTCATGTTTTGAAGTAATATTCCAAAATGACAACACAAATTGTAGTGAGTGAATATGTTTTTGATGTAGACTGATTCAATAGCAGTTTCTGAATGCTAAATGGAATGTTTTATACTTAAAGGAAGCATATTAGGGAGTAAAGCATTAATTTGTTGTGAAGCTTTTATTCCTTCTTTTGTTTTTGATATTTTTGAGATAGACTACCATTTTTAAATCTCTTATCACAAAAGATCATTTTCATCTTACTCTTAGCAATTTAGAGGTGTTTATCAAACATACTTGGTGTGATACTGGTTCTACCAGGGTTATATAGTACAGATCTAAAAATGTTCTTTTTAAAAACCATAGTTCTGTAAATAAATAATATTTGAATAAATGAAAATTTAGAAAAGTGTCCTGAGTCTCCATTACATCTAAGCAGTTTTCAGAACAATCTTATATCTTTGATACACTGGCACTTACTGCTATTAGGAAATGAGCTAATTCATATAGAATAAGGATATAATAATCACGACTTCTCAATGTAGACAGAACTAGTACATGAAGACACATTCCTAGCAGAAAACATGTACAAATCTGCTTATATTTTAATGGTATTACCATATGTAATATTAAACATTATTCCAATTCTCTTTACTATTCAGCAATTCTTATAAAGTACAGCTTCCTTTCACATACAACATGGATGCTCCACAAAGCATAAACACAGCCTTAGACTATCTTCCTGCTAATAGAAAATTACTTTCATTTCACTTACTATCTTCATAGACTTTTTTGAAAAACTAAAAAAGGTTAAATTTGTATTTTATGCTCTTATGTATGTTAATCAAAATCATTCTCCCAATACAGACAATAGTTATGAGTGTAGCAGATAGAATGTTCATTATCAATAGAAGACAGATATTGTAGACCATGGAGAAATAAAGTTAAACTGCTTTCCTTTATTTTAATAGTAAGTCCTTTGTGAAACCTTTAGAAAACTATTATCATTTACATAAAAATTAATTTCTAATTTTGTCTAATACTATGTATTTGTATCATTCCTTTAGAAAAATTCTTGTATTTCACAATGCAAAGGAGTTTGAGCAGGTTATGAAAAAATAATGAGAAGTGTGAGTCTACTTCTCTGCAGTATTTACTAGTGTGATCAACTGCCCAGTAAGCTTGTCATTGTATAAAACAGAAAGCATATATTTTAATCTTCCCAGAACCGAAATATTTAGGCTCAAATATTTTGTACAATTTTTAGTGAAAGTATTTATTGAGCTATTGATATATTCAAAGCAATGTGTTGGATCCCTTGTTATTAAAGATGAATCAAATACAAATTCCACATTTTAGAAGGTTATGGTCTAAAAGAGAAGATAAGCACCCATAATAAAAATGTAAAAGAAATATGTTCTTAGAAGCAGATCCAGTAAGGTGATGTTGGAGTTGAGCGATAGAATAGATTGCTTCCCAAGACATGAGGATACTTCTTGGAGTAACTGGCATTGCGTTATAACATATGGTAGAATTAAAATGTATGATCAGATAGAGAAAGATAATGCAAAAACAAAAGGTGAGTAGTAGTTTTCTATTGCAGAGTAATAAATTATCACTAATTTGCAGCTTAATGTAACACACATTTGTTACCTTAAAATTTCTATAGATCTGGAATCTGGGAAGGGCTTAGCTGAGTCCTCTGTTTAGGGTGAACAAGATTGCAATAAGGATTTGTCTGCAAGTGCAGTCTCATCTGAAACTCAACTGGAGAAAGATTCATTTGTGTTGGCAAAATTTAGTTCCTTGCAGTTGAAGGACAGAGAATTTCAATGTCCTGTTGATGTTCAACTGGAGAACATCCTCAGCTCCTAGAGACCACCCTAAGTTCCTTGTCACAGTGGTCACCCAACATACAGCCTGCAACATGGCAGTATAGTTCTTTAAATACAGCCAGGAAAAAATAAACTTTCACAAGATGATCACACCTTATTCTCTATGTAATCATAAACATGTAATCACATTCCTCCTGTCTTGTTTGCTGCATCCTGTTGGTTAGAAGCAAATCACAGGTCATGGTCATACCCAGGGGACAGTACTATTCAAGGCCATAAATGTCAGGAGATGGGGATGATGGGGAGGCACCAGAGAGCCTATCCACCACAGGGTGGAAGGTGAAAGTTTTGGTTTAGCTGAAGGGTGTGGCACATGTACATGGGACAATCAGGTTGGAAAAAAAGTTTGGGTTCAGGTTGTGGAAAGAATTGAATGCCCTACACTGAAGTTGAACATTATATTTTATACACAAGAGGAAACCATTGTTATATTTTTGAAAAGTAGAGGAAACTTAATGGAACTAGGTTTCAGACAGTTTAATCTGGAAATGAGTTATAAAATGAATAAGGAAAAAATAATTGGTTTAGGAATAAAAGTTAATATATTAACTTGTTGAAAGAATGAAATAACAAATATTGTAGAAAGTATGACTATAAAATTAGAATTTAAAATTAAACTTTTGTTTCTTAAACTGAATTACAAAAAGGAAGGGCGATCAGTCAGTCACTAGTTCCTTACTAGGTCAAAATTACAGGCTTCCTTTTATACACACATGTAATGTAAGATGTTCTTTGGGAATGTCTTTTTAAGAAGGAGAGGTGGTCTGTGAGACACTCAGGTGTGGAAAAACAGACTTCATGACACTCATCAAGGAGAAGAAAGGTGAGCCCAAGACAATATATTAAAAAAGAGTAACAGTAGTATGTCTAGGAAAATGCTGGATATTGGATGTGCAATATTTTGTGTAATTAAAAAAATTTTACTCTATTGGTAGTACCATCAAATTAAAGAAAAACTGATTTTTCATGAGCATCATATAAGGGAAGTGGAAATCAAGATAAAGAAATATGATAGATGGCAACAAATAGAACTTGACAATAAAGAGACATTAGGGAGAGATAATAGTAATAATTGACATTTTTAATCTAGTCAATTAGGAGATTACTAACAAGCAGAAGGATATGTTGGAAAAAGAGTAGGTTTTAGGGCTACAAGAAAAATATTAATTTATATATACTAAATTTAAATGATTTGCAGAATTTTTGCTGAAGATGTACAATGCACACTAGAACCCACAGGCAGTCAGGAGGAGGCAAGTGGTACAATGCACACTAGAACCCACAGGCAGTCAGGAGGACACAGGTGGATTCTTGGAAGTCACTAGGTAAAGCTGACAATTGAGAGTATAAGATTGAGCAAAATTACCAAGGAAGTGAGTGTGGTTCAAGAAAAAATAAAGACTATGAGCAAATCTCTATAAAGTATCTATATCTCAAAGGTGGGATGAGGAAGCAGAATTGGAAGAACTTGAGAGAGAAGAAACAGAAAAAGTGATCCTAAAGGTAGTTGAAAACAACAAAGAAAGAGTAAAGTAGTAGCTCAAAGGAGAGAATCATCTAAGAGTGGCAAAGTTGAATCTTTTGAGTAGTCAGGCAAATACTGCAGCAATCCAAGTCTAAAGTAATAAGACATGGGACAAAGGCAAAGTGAAATACATGTGACCCGTACAAAGTAGCTGACTTCAAAAGAAATACATTTTTTAAAACACAATATCCTTATGGAAAATCCACTGCTATCTTGATTTGGTCCACAGGGTGCCAGTTTGTGATCTCTAGCCTATAGTAATAAACAATCCAGAGAAGAGAAATAGAATGACATTGAAGCAAATCAATGTTTTGCAAGTAAGAGTTTCTTAATCATATCTTTGTGAGAGAGGTTTTATTAAATGACGGAAGCAGAAATTGAAGTGTAAGATTTAAGGAGAAAGTGGGTGATCAGCAAACAAAAACCTTGTCTGATTTTATAGTGATGTAACACTTGAAAAAACTCTGTCATGCAGTTGTGAAAACAGCCATGAGAAGGTTATGGCTGGTCACAGACAACAGGGGAATGACGAGGCTAAATACTGTGTCCCCACTGGAGACAACAAAGAGCTTCATGAGGCGAACACAACAGTCAGAGCTGGGAGTGGGAAACAGCAGCAGTAGCCAAGGAGCAGAAGTCCAGCCAAACCTTATTGGATGGTATCTTGCTGGTGTGTAGGCTCCTTCAGAATCGCTATCCATTCCACCTCACCAGCTTCCCCACAGGTTTCAAATGCCACCCAGATTTTCAGTGAATCATTTACCTTGGGAAGGCGATGGGAAATTATTAAAGGGGTAGTGAATTGATCAGCTCCTTGGGTGCTGGAGGTTTGATTTTTTTACTCTTAGAAGACATGAGTCATGCACAGTTGTGGAATGGATGGGAGCAGCCATGGTAAGGAGTTGTATTCCAGAAACAAGAGGGCAACTTGGTGGAATCAGGGCCTGGAGCAGGACCATGGGGATTGGATTCCAGGCATAGGTGGAGACATGAGCTTTTGAGATCGAAAATGACACTTCTTTCTCTAAGTCTGTAGAAGATGGAAAGTGAATACTTGGAGTTAGAGATACATTTGAAGTGGAGTAGAGATATATCAAATAAGCTCCCACTGGGAAGTTCTGGCCTCTTTAGCATCAGCCTAATGATGGGAAACACTGGGAAGAGCCATGACACAGGTGACCTGGGCATGCATGTGTTAGGTGTTCAGTTTTATCCTGATGTAAAAGGTGTGGTTTTCATGCTGCTGAAGAACAGTGGCTCATGTCTCGCAATCTGCACGACTAACTTCATGCTCTTTGCTTGGGTTCAGTCACTCAACAAATGTTTACAGAGGTTCAGTAATATGCTATATTGCATAGTTGTTTAAAAAACTTTATTGCTTATTTTTCTGATTAGAAAAGGATTTTTTTTCTTTGTAAAAACCTATACAGAAGAAAAATGAATATAATATCATTTAATCAGTATTTCTTGAACATGTATCATGGGTCGAACCCCATATTGGCAGTTAGACATGCAATAGAAAACAAAACTGACATGACTTTGCTGTATAAAACTTATAATCTAGTAGAAGAAACTAAATTCTGCCCAGACTCTCCCATCACACCCTCTCCAGGTAAACACTATTTGGTTTTGTGTATATTCCGCCAAATATTTTTTATTTTTAATATACTTCAAATAGTTTTATCACATTCTATGAGTTATATTTTTCCTTTTTGCTGTGTAGAGATTAGGGTAGCTTCATGCTACATTCAGATACTAATTTTGAAGTTTTAGACAAGATGACCCAAAAAGGATGGCAAAGAAGGAGCTTAGAGCTGAAAGGGATTTCAAACGTGATCCCTCTCTTTACAATCTCTCTTTGAAATCTTCTTATTCAAAGCTGTATAATCAAATAGGTGCATTTACATGAAGTAAAACACATTAATTAATTTATTTAATACATTTTGAGTGTCTTCTCTGAGCAAGATAATATTCTAAATATGGTTTACTCGCTAAAGCAAATTTCCAAGAAAACCTAATTTTTCAGAAACAAACAAAACCTGTGGAGAAGAGCTAATAATAAGTACTTTGGCAAAATTCATGTGCTCCAGTTTAAAAAAAGAAAATTAAAACTCAAACAGGGAAAAGGAAGACAAAAAATTTCAAGCTAATCTGAAGTATGGAGAGGCAGATTTCTTGATTTTTCTGGCTACAGTCATATACTAACATTTTAGTTTTATTCTTCTCTTTTATTGGAAAAGTGGCTGTTTTAAAGATACGTAAGCATTTGTACTCTGTCAGTTATCTCTGTAGGGAAAAAAGAATTTATACACCAGAGCACATGGAAAAATGCATGCATGATGATAGAGTTTTACAAATTTATTTATTTTGGGTTGTTATAGCCCTTCTACCCTTTATTCTCATTCAAGCTCCCATTTTTTTAAAAAACATTCCATCTACAGGGAACTGCACAGAAAATGTGAAATTGGTAATTCTGCTTACTCGGCTACAGAAGAATGTAAGAAATAGCTATAGTGTATGTCACTATAATTTATGACCGGGCAGTGACAATAACTTAAAGACACAGAATAGAAACCAACTATCCACCATTAAGTAGTGGATGAGCTTGGAGTATATCATTTTGTTGATATTTCTATCTCCAACACTCAACAAATTATTACCCCTGCAATTCCCTACATTTTTTACTTCCTGGAAATGTCATGTATAATTCAACATAAAATGGAGACCATTTGTGCACTTTTCACTCAGTTTGTTACTGTAAGAAAGATGTTTTAAGGTAAGAGCTAAAATATTCAATCCAATTCAGTACAAAATTTATTGAATACCCAATATTATGGCTGAACTATAAGAAGGTACAATAAATTCATTTATTGTCTTAAACACACACAAAAAGATTGGAAAATGACTACCTCTTTATGGGGAAGGGCTGGTTGGTATTGAACAATTTCTTTCCGTAGGTCTCACGAGTCTCTTGGCTCTCTAGCATCCTTACGAAGGAAACCTAAGAGTAATAAACTAAAACTAAAATAACAAAGGAAAGTATGATTTAGGAAATTTCACCCATAAGGTCCAACCTGCTATAAAACAGTAAATATATCTAAATGTTCTGTTTTGTTTGCTGGCAGTAGATAGGCTCATTAGAGTTGGAGATGTTATCCCAAAGTGTTTTCAGATAGGATCTCAATGGCATTTCAGTTTAATCCTCCCAGTTCTTTAGGGGACCACTCCAAATTTATCTTACAAGGGGGCAGTAAGCATAGAGAAAAGATTACTTCTCTGCGCCTTTCCCTAACCAGATTTTCGGTTATTCTCAGACAAAAGGAAAAATGTATCTACCTTCAGAAGTCTGACTACAGAATATTCTCTCCTATTTGTGTTTAAAGAGTCATCTTTCAGGAGCAGCAGCTCTCTGTGTTACAGCAGTTCCTTTATTTATTCATTTAGTTACAACCAGCGCTTACTAACTGTGCATGAGGCCTACAGGAGAAGCCATCAAAGCATACAGGGAAATAGCCTAGAGAATATTAGAGGATGAACACATAAACTTGGAATGCCCAGCCTAGACTTGAACCACCAAGGAAGGAAAAGCATGTTGAGACTGGAAATACAAAGAATCATGTGAAGTGTGTGTGTGTGTGGTGTGTGTGTGTGTATGTGTTTTCCCAGAAAGTTTCAAGCAAGTTGACAGAATGTTCAGTTTAAGAGACAAGTGAGATTCCTTTAGAAAACCTCTAGTAGCTTACAACCTTGTGTTATGTTATAATTTGAACATCAGGTGTGGCAGGTTTTACATAAGCTTTCTGTACAAGTCTCTAAAGAATGAGTGCACAACTTGA